TGCCCATGGCCTGGTCAGTGCAACATAAGGACGTATGTCCATGTTATACAAGAAAAGGGCTTTGGTTCATTATATTTGCTCATTTGCTGGTTTCAAATTTTTTAAAAGGATCACTTTTCTAGAGGGGAACTTTAACTTGTTGATCTTAAATGCAACATTTCTGTCAGTTATCAAGAAAGACATCCTGATTCTATGCTGTGAAGAACCTTTGAATTTGTTGGTATTATTCCATTTATTTAAGGGGTATTTCTGAGTGATTGTGTTGCAAAAAGCATATTTCAAAGGAGAAGATGGGATACATAAATAAATTCTAATCCAAAGCTGAACATAATAAAGACTTTACAAATAATATAAAGTAACTGGGGTAGAAGTACAGAAAATATTCAGCATCTCCCACTTACTGGCCATCAGCTAAGATTATCTATGGGAGATAGGAAGAAGAACAAGATTTCTCCCCTCTAGAAATTTACAGTCTAATCAAGAAAACAACAGTAACAACAATAAAGTGATAACAGATAATATGTTTTTACTTTTCATGCATCATTTATGGATTTTCATAAGAACCCCTGTGGTAGATGCAATCTTCATTTTCATTTCACAGATAAAAAAAATAGGTTAAATAAAAGAGGAGTCGAATAACAGCTCCAAAGCAGAATTGGAAACAAGTGGATTCGTAATTTGAGTCCAAGTCTTTCCCAATGACCTGGCAACGTAATTGTTATTCCCATTTTCAAAAAGAAAACTGAGGTAGAGAGATTAAGCAAATTGCCCAAATTCGGCCATTAAAAAGTGGGGAAGCATGACTATAATCCAAAGCAGAAGGAAATAAATATTTTAGCATATCCGAGCAAAGCGTTGTGTGAGCACCAAGGAAGGGGCGTCGCTCGGACAGAGGTTGATCCAGGAAGCTTCAGAGAGGACTCTGCTTTGGAGCTGAGATTGAGAGTAAAGAGACTGAGAGAAGGAGCGGGTGGGAAGGCTTGTTCACACTGGGGAGTGCAAATCCAAGTCAGCCGTGGGTCTTCTGCTACCTATCATCATCAAAGTCAACAAAAGGGAAAGAATTTAAATAAAGGAAATTTGCTGGCACAACTGGGAACTTCGGAGTGTCTGTGGACTGCGTCGTTCGTTCTCTGCCTCACCGCACACCTGCTTTGCACACCTCCATTAGTGTGGAAAACGAAGCACTTAGCTCTTCAATTCGTTTTGCCATTTTTTTTTTTTTTTTTTTTTTTTTTT